AGTGAAAATTGACCATCTTTTATCCAATTAAGAGATCTATAGGAAATATACTCTTTATTTACTTTAACCACGTCACTTTTTTTACCTAATCGTTGCTTAAAAAAAGAAGTTTAAATCTCATTACTACGTCATTATTAATTTCCTATATCTACATTGCCATAAAATCTCCACTAATTATCTCCAACATCTCCTTAAATTACCTAATATTACATTAATGACCACTGCAACTAATGACAACATATTTTCCCTAAAATGTCCACCTATTATAATGATTGTCTACAGTAAATTGAAACATGTCGTTTTCGAAACTATGAAAACCTAACTATTATTACATTTTCTCGAAAAACCTCTCTTCTTTTGTTCCAGCGTATTCGTTTTGTTTGGTGATTGGTACGATATACCACAAGTTCAAAATAACTATTTTTTTAGTTGTTTGACATTTTGTTCAAAAACTGTACGAGGGAATCAGTCCGAGTTCACTCGGTATATAAACGACATACAACGCCGTCAATAAGAGGTTAATTAAATTTACCGAAAGAACGGCACTAAATTTGTTAAAGTCGATTAGGCCTGAAAGTGCCATAAAACATTTTTAACTTCATTCATTTTATCGCAAGTGGAGACGAGTACAACGTTCAATAAATAACACTCGGATTTCTTCTTTCTCACGTGCGTTATCTTTTACTTTTGTAATGTCATTATAATGAGGCAATTAGCGGATCATTTATTTTTACGTCGGCAACTAGACGCGGGCGTTTAGGTGATAAGGGCATTTCTTGTATTTTATTCGGAGTATAGGAGTTTGTTCTCTAAGCCTTCTAAACCAAAGGAGCATCTCCTGGTTTATCAAAATAACCTTTTTCAAATCCTGAATTATGCTAACTGAACGTGTTCGAATATGTGTCCTTCAGGTTGTATAAAAAGGAGGCCCAAAAATATTTATTCTAGTTATTACTGAAACATTGTAGGATACCTAAACGTTATTTAAACTACAAATACCTTTGGAACCTGTAAATATTTTTTTTTCATTTCTTTAATACATTTGTTTTTGTATAGAAATGACGTATACCAAATATTCCTATTCCTTTCAAACGACACTAAACGCACGGGAATGATAGTGACTTCATACCGCCGCTTTTCGAAGGTTACGTCTACTTTTGGGTCGTGTAAAAGTATTGTATTTTATTTACGTATTTATGCTTAGTGTGCTGTACATGATAATAATGGAAGCAACACAAACACAATATTATAAATCGTGCCATAGTGTAACACTTTTTATTCGTCTATCAGAAAATAAAATCCGTCGTTTTTTCTTTAGAATATGTTCAGGTGTCACTTTAGCCTTAACCATGCACTTTTAACTGTTCGCACTTGCACTCATCCTATATTGGTATTGGTATTGGTATTAAAGGGGGGCGCCCTCGGGGGCGTCCAAGCACTTAGGCCACCAGATGGGCCCGTTGTGCCCCCAGGCCGCTCTAGAGGGCGTCCAGAATGCCGCCCCTCCTGTAGAAGGTCAGCAACTCCTTTAGCCCAATACCGTGCACTGAGTCCGGATCGATCAGGGCCGTTCCGAAGACTCCCAATCTTGCCCATGTCAAAGCAGGGCATTCGGTGAGCAGATGATACGGGGTCTCCTCCCCTTCCATGCACCACCTACACTCCGGGTCGTCTCCAATGCCTAGCAAGCAAAGATGCCTCCTAAGCCTGCAATGTCCTGTGTAGGCCCCTGTTAGTGCTCTACACTCCCTTCTGGTCAGTCCAAGCAGCTCCCTGGTCCGAGGAAGGGCGGGCCCATCCATCATAAGCCTCGCCTGCCTCATTCCCGGAGCAACTCTCCAGCCCCCCGCGGCCCGGTCTCTCGCCCAGGCTTCGAGAGCTCCCCGCCTCACACACGGGGCGATCCCCAAGCGGGGCTCTGGCCCTATATGCCTATGCGAGGCGCCCTCCCTGGCTAAGGCGTCCGCTGCCTCATTGCCCCGGATACCGGTGTGACCCGGGACCCAGACCAACGTGACCTTTCTCTCCTCAGCCACCCTCCTCAGTACCCCTTTGCACTCCTTTATCAACAAGGAGCGCGTACGCACTGACTTCAGCGGACTCATCCTATTGTAGTATCCATAGGAATGACTTCTTGATCTATATAAAATAAAGAACACTTCAAGTTATTAATGCCAATATACTTTGGAATCAGTATTTAGGTTTCCACTAATTTAAAGAAATCCTTTTTTTTTTTAATGAATAATTTACAATTTATGTGATATACCATTTGAATTTTAAAAACTAGAAAACTTTAAGCTGATTACAACATTATATTGGTTAAAAACTAGTGGCTAAATTTTGTATGAACATACCTTTTAGCTTTAACACGGCCCACCTCAGCAAAAGAAAAACTTTCGGTGGTTTGTATGTAAGACGTCACCATGAACATATCCACTAAAGGTAAATTATCCGATTGATGGTTTTTAATACTAAACACAAGATAACAAAAGCAAGCGACAGGATCCAGACTACAAATAAAATTAAAATCACCAAGATGAACGAGTTGTCGTTCTCTAATGCAATTGACGGCACAAACGATCATAGCAAATGACAGCTCGTTTCAAATAGGATTTAAATTTTACAATTTTTAATTGCTTATATTTGTTATATAGAACTACGAAATTTTTTTTGCGAACTGTGGTTCTTTTAAAAGTGTAAGTGTAGTTCCCGATTAGCAATAGAATATTCGAAAAAAATCTTACACTTTCATGCTCTGAGGGTTTTGTTTTTAGAAAATATTGTAAACTAATTGAAAGTTAAATTTTGTCAGCAGTAAAATTAATGACCCAATGTTTCTCTAAAGGTAGACAAGGATTGATACTGCTGTTTCAAACTTCCATTGTTTTTCACTTGATATCGATTAGCGATACTTTCTAGCCGCAAGATCGTGTTGAAAAATGTTTTTAGACAATGGAAGTTCGCCAGAATTGACCATTTACCAAAGGAAGTTGTAATCTAAATTTTATTTAGGTGTCTTAAACCGTTCCAAAGATAGTGAAAATACAACGAATTTTTGATCTCGCTATTGGAGGAGACATTGTCGGACACATTGACCATTTATCCTAGACGTTGAAGGAACGCTTTTTTGAAACACGTGTTTAATAGTATATTATGCAACAAGTGTGGTAAACGGCATTTGACACACGAGTTTATTTGACACGGGCGAAACGAGTGTTTGATAAACGAGTGAGTTAAAAAGTTTACCGAACGTGTTGCATTCTATACTTTTTCTACGACCGTTAGTTTTTGGGTACATTTTCGCAAAACACGAATACATTCACTGACATGACTGTCAGAATCATCCGATTGCTCCCAAACCCGTGCGGTAAAATCCCGGAAATGTCCGAAGTGGCTCGGATTCGTGGGAAACGAAACTGACGTGGTAAAGCGACGCTTCCCGCACGCTAGTTCGGTGCGTAATTAAGTATTTTATAGACGGGAGTAGAAAAATTAATTTACGATCAAATTGATTGCATAGTCTGTTTCAATTTTCATCGTGTTGGCTTTCGATGGACCGTTCCGAATAAAACTTGTACGATGTTATTATCGATTATTATTGGGTAAAGCCATTAACAAAAAAATTATGTTTTTCTTGAGGTTGACCATTTGTGGCAGTGTTGAATAATTATTTTTACTGTGCTTTTCGAAAAAGTTATTTTACGAAAATATAACAATGTCGCGTGGAAATTATTTGTCGCTTGTATCGGTAGAGGACCTATTAAACAAGAAGCTTTAAAAGAAACCTGTCTACTTACAAAAACGCCAATATCGTCGGTAAGGAATATTATTAATAGTGAAGAATTGAATAAAAGAAATAAACGTAATGATTTTCAAACTCACCGTATAGATAATAGTGATCAGGACTTAATAAGAAGAAAAATATATTGTCTTGATCAAAGCGAAGTTGTTCCTACCTTGGATAAACTGAAAAAGAACCTAGAAGAAGACGAAACCAAAATAAATACAAGCCGTGCCACCTTCCATAGAGTGGTGTGTAAAACGGGATTTAAGTGCCGCACAATAGACAAAATGCAAGTAGTAATGAACTCAAATTACGCACTTGAGACAATAGTAGGCAACATCACCTTCAAATAAAGAAAAACGTATCAGTATAATCCGCGCTGGGTCGGAAGAGACCTTTTTTGAAAATTGGTTTCAAAACAATCTTTTAAAAAATATTCCCAATAACAGTATTATCGTCATGGATAACGCAAGCTACCACAGCCGTTTGCTCCGCATAGCACCAGCCTCATCAAGTTCGAAAAGTGTTACCTAGGAATATTTATATATATATATATATATATATATATATATATATATATATATATATATATATATATATATATATATATACATATATATATATATATATATATATATATATATATATATATATATATATATATATATATATATATATATATATATATATATATATATATATATATATATATATATATATATATATATATATATATATATATATATATATATTTATTTATTTATTTATTTATTTATTTATATAATATAACTTATATAATTGCGGGCAAAATCCAGCGCGATGAAGATTGAGACAGACTGTACCACTCTGTTCAGGTAACTGTCATTTAATATAACATAACCAATCATAATTCTAGAATTACATGCACTTTTGAGCTTCATCAAGTAACAGCAGAATTAGAGTGATTTGTTTTTTTGCGCACGGTTATATTTATTTTTAATATTTTATGTACTTTTCTAGCCGATTGACTTTTAGGAACAAATTCCACACATGTTAGAAGAATGAATATTTGCGTTTTCAGTAGTGGGGACTTATTTGCCAAGTTTCACTGTGTCTTTCTTATTTGTATTTCGTTAAAGAGTGTCAATTTGAACAATACAATTCATCACTTTATCGATTTTTTCCTTTCATTATCATTATTACAAATTTTTTACTGAGAAAGCGTTTGTTGTTTCAGATTTAGATTTTGGCATTTCGGTGAATGGAGGGAAATTGTCGTCGACGATAAACTACCAACGCACAAAGGAAGATTGGTCCATCTGCATTGCTCAAACACCACGGAATTCTGGGTGGCCCTCTTGGAAAAGGCGTACGCAAAGTAAAAACGCAGTAAAAGAGTTTTTCTGAGCCATATTCGAATATTTCCGAACAATTTTAGGTTTTATGGATCGTACGAGAATCTGGCTTCCGGATCGACCACGAAAGCACTGCAAGATTTAACTGGCGGTATCGTCCAGAGTTTCGGTTTGACCCACCAAGATAGATTTCTCACGTTTCAAGTCTTAAACAGCGCAGTTCCTAGATCTAGTCTACTAATAGCTACTATTACCCAAGTATGTTCTATTAGAAAATACCCTTACCTCCACCATACGTCAAGAATTGCGGTTTTCAAATTGTGTAATTTGGTTATGAGGGATAAATTGCGAGACGAATGTGATGTGCAATTCCCGACCAATATTAGGTAGATAATAGTTTAAATTGATGAACGATGGAATGAATTTGGCCGATGGTGTAAATTCTTGGATTGCAGTGTCAATGGGACAAAAACTACGTATAGGCGACATCAAACTTGCCTCAAGTAGTTAATTTATCTTCCTTAAACTATCCATTACGCAACGCTTTAATTCCTCGCACACCCTGAAGTGAAGATAGTTAGCTTCGTTTATTCGAAAATTTTGAATCGTCGTTCTTTAAATTAAATTTTCGACAATACCACCTTTGTATCTTGAAACGGGATAGAAAAAATATACCAGGGATATAATTTATGGTTGCACAACGCCCTCCATCTTCTAAGTCGCCAAAGGGTGGAACATTTTCCGCGCTTTAGCAAAATGTTTAACTAATCTTTAAAAATCATTGTGGGAAAATGTCGTGTTTTGAAACCTAAAGAAAAAAAAATTCCAGGAATAAACTTGATTGTTACAGAATAACCCTTCGCCAAATTTCAAACTAATCGGTAAAAATCAATGTGCCAATATACTTGCAACTTCAAAATACCAATGAGATAATAAAAGGGACAATGGTGACAATTCTAAAGGGCCAATGCCCAACTCTGCTGTAACTCCAATGGTGTCCGTTTTCACAGATTTGACAGTTTAATAGGAACAGAGGCTTCAGTAGTGTCTAAAATACGCAATTTTAGTTACCTGAAATTGTAACAAAATAATCAGTAAGAACTGTATAAAATGTTCGATTAATTGTAGTTATTCTTGAATTGTAGCCGTTTTTTTTTAAATAACAAAATATGTGCAGAAAGTTGAAAGTGGGTCTCATTTTGTTCAGAATTATCACAGGTAGAAACGCCCTAAAGTGAAAAATACCAGCTTAACCGGGACCTAATTAACTTTAATATTAGCTCTTCTAAGAAACCTATTAAGTATGTAAAAAAGTACTTCAGGGCAGTGTTTTACATTATTATAATTTTAAGTTTCTCTATAAATTCTCGAAATTTGTATATTAACAGGCAGCTAAAGTGAAATTTTTATTTATATTGCGAAAATCTTCTGAACAACTTTTCATATTTGAGTAAAAATTGGAATCAAATTTAATATTATGGCGACTTTAAATTGTAGGGGTAATTATATTATGAGTATGAAATATAGGGTCTTGGTTTTAAAAAATAATAAGATTTATAATGACAAACCTTTATTTGAAAGCCATATCTTAATATAATTTTAAAGTACTAGTTAGATGTATGTATTGTATGACTTTTATGTAGATATTGTGAGATACAAATATTACGACTACTTATGACTACTACAACCAAAATTTGATAACAATTATCTCTTTAAGTTATATATAACAACAGTATTAGCTTTTATATCCTCTTCTAAATTTTCAGAGTACAAGAACAGATAATTTCACAACAATCTTAGCTTTCACATCCTCTTAAAATTTCGAAAATACCAAAAAACGGGCAATTCCTGGGCGTGAAATCGATTCAAGCCGCACAGATTTGAAACCACTGTACCATACGCTACAATGTTGTACATCTCCTGACCGCACAGACCACGGTGTCGTTCGGAACTCAACAATGGAACGCATTAAAATGTTAATTACGTTCACGGAACCACGCGTGTAACCGAAGACCATTAAATCGTCATTAAAGCTGTAGATCACGGCGAACACGCTTAATACACGTGGACTTTTCAACCCAATTATGAAGGATAAAACTAACGAATTCTGATATTTTTCCTAGGAGAAAGATAACAAACGTCAGCTGCGGTTAAGGAACGGGTTAATAACCCAGCACGCTTACAGCGTGACAGGTTTGGCGAGGGTGAGGGGCTCCACTGGAGAAACACCACTGGTGAGGCTAAGAAACCCATGGGCGAGAGGAGAATGGACCGGACCTTGGAGCGAGCGATCCTGGGAGTGGGATGGTTTATCAACCCGGGACAAGGAATTACTTAGCGTTAGGGTGGCGAACGACGGGGAGTTCTGGTACTAACTTGACTAGAGTATTGTATCGTTTTAAGGTAGTAATGCTTTTAGGATGTCTTTTGAGGATTTTGCCCGTCATTTCACCCAACTTGACTTGGTCCACATCGGACCCGACGATTGGATGATGGAAGGAGCGTTGCACTCCAAACAGCCTTGGAGGGCTGTTTTGGCAAGGAGGAGGTGGCGAGCGGGGTATAACGCTGGAGGAGGACCATCGTATACGGGCAAGTATTCCTTTTCCGGCATGCTAGATGGAATTGAAGAAGACGTTTTGGGCTCATCCAATCGAATGTTCGACTCTAAATACCTTATTATAATCCCAGTTGATGATCTGCGCAGGAACCAGAGTTTGAGGGTGTTCGCCATCGACGTTTTAGAACGCTGAATTATAATTAACCCCGAAATGAAACACACTTTGCTCATTTAAATTTCAGCATAGACTAACTTTATTACTTTATCGTTACCTTTGAAAAAAACGACATTTTACACACTGGTATAATTCACAAACATGCCAACAGATGGCGCTGCAAATTTTATTTTTGGGCTTATTAAATAACCGCTATTAGGGCTTTCCTCCCAGACCGTTTTCATTGGTTTGGCGTTATTACATACTGCTTCGGACCTGTTCTGAGTCAGCATATATACAGTGTATATCATATCCTAACAGTATATTTTGACATCCCTTACGTGACCACTGTGATGGCGGCAAATTCGAAAATTTTGACCTTAAACCGTGAAAAATGGAGTTAGATAAAATCATAAAAAGTGTTAGAATAGCATTGCAGAGCTGAAATATTTTAGCAACAATTTTTAAGATTCATAAAAAAAAGAACCACGTATTTTCTCTTAGTAATCACTTCGTCGATCATTCTTGCCATAAAATTACCAAATAGTTCCAGAAATACCGGAATAATGTTTTTTAATACAAATTTTGAAATTAACATTTACATTTCCATTTTGCTGCTCAATGGTATCGATTTTTTTATTAATCAACGTTTTGTCTTTCAGTGAACACCAAATCTTTGTCTTTATAAAATTCTTCAATCCTACATCAGTCCTCGGACTCAGTTTGTAGAATTGAATTCTGCAAAATCCCAAACGACCCGCATCACATCTGAAATTCCTCAAGGGTCCCATTTGGGACCATTGTTATTTTCACTGTTTATCGCAGATGTCAGTAAATGTTTTCTTTTTGCTAAATCAGCATCATACGCAGATAATCAGAAATCATACGCGCCCGTGAAAAGTCTTAACGACTGTCATAAGTTTCAAGAAGATCTTGATCGTTTTTATGAATACTGTGTAAAAAATCGTCTATTTTTAAATATTGATAAATGTTACTGTCTTAAGTTCAGCAGGCGGATAAATGATATAAACTTTGACTACACATTCAATGGTGTAAAAATAAAAAAAGTAGAGCAGATTAGGGATCTTGGAATAACTATAGATGTAAAATTAAGTTTTGATATCCACATTGAGAATATATAAAAAAAGCTTATAAAAATTTAGGTTTTATATTAAGAGTTAGCAAGGAATTTCAGGATCACAAATCGCTTATTATTCTATACAATTCCTACGTTCGATCTCACCTTGACTATGGCGGTGTGATATGGAGTCCTCAGTATCATAAATATATAGACAGAATCGAGAGAATACAAAAAAAGTTTGTTTTCCATTTAAATTTTAGATTTAACCGTAACTTACTAACTCATTCGTATGAAGCTAGTCTTAATTTCTACCATATACTGAAGTTATCTGTTAGAAGAATTATCTCCAGTGCTATATTTTTGCATAATATTATTAATAGTAGGATTGACTGTCCTTTACTGTTAGAAAAACTATCCTTCAATGCCAGAGTCGTTATAACAAGAACTCCTTCATTATTTTACGTGCCTAGATTTAATACAAACTTAGGTAACAATTCCCCAATATCTCTTTTACATAGACATTACAATAATTATTTTTCGCACATTGACATCTTTGCGTTATCACTTAATTCGTTTCGAAATCAAGCAATTAGGGTTTTTCTAGAAATTTATTTTAATTTTTGATTTGTTTTCCTTATTTTTTCACATTTGTTTTTTGTAATTCGCGCACTTAATATACAGTGTTAGTTTTGGTTTAGTTTGGTAAGTTTGATTGTTATTATTTTTTTTTCTTCTGCTTATCGTAGATAAATAATGGTATAATTGTTAGTGTGTCCTTGTAAATTGTGAAGTTAGTTCTTCATGTTAGGGCACCTTTGTAATAAATAAATAAATAAATAAATAAATAAATTTTCAATTACGGATTGAATCTACTGTAGTTATATTGTGTTTTCTTTTTTTTCTTAAATATGCGCTAAGACTATTTTGGTTATTTTTAAATGATTCCAACTTTTGAACGCTACCGAGAACAACTTTTCATTTTTTTTTCAGACACGACGTCGATGAACCCCCAATTCCATGTCCAAATTCCTCGAACGTCCAGCAATAAATGTCACGTAGTGGTGTCAGTGACGCAATGTTATGAAACTTCTGTGATAGAAGCGAAAAAGAGAAAACCTCTTTTCGCGATTGGGTTCGCTGTTTACGAAGTGCCTCATTCCATGCAGAGACTAACACCGCACTTTGTGGGAGAGCAAGTAAGCAATCGCCTAGCTATACGTTTCCCAGGTAGTAAAGAAATCATTTTCAGAAACCACTAGATGTGACGAACCATTCGGTAGCGAGGGAAGTTGTGACGTTTTTTACCCTGCCTCCAGGTGATTATATAGTAGTGCCTCAAACCAATGTTCCGAATTTAGACGGAAAGTTCTTGCTTAGGATATTTACCGACGAACACAGTAACATTTGGTAAATATACACTTGCTTGCTTAGATTCGCTACTACCTTTACCCTTATAGGGAAGTCAACGAGGACAACATGATAATCAAAAACATCTCGTCGGAATTTATAGAGGACCCAACATCAACCTTGTTCGTAAGTAACCAGTTCAATCTGGCGATCTATATTGGAACCGTGTAATTTGCAGAAAGAAGGGAAATCACTCCTGTCCAAACTGTTGCTCAAATACCCGCCCGAAGTGGATGCTAGTCAATTGCAAAAAATATTAAAATCCAACTGGAAGCTGTACCTGTCGGAAAAGCCCAGCCTGGAACTGTGCAAAAGCCTGATAATGCTGAGAGACTACAACATCAGCGGAAGGATCAACTTGATTGATATTCCCTCGATGATGCATATGCTTCATTTTTGGAGGGTACGTTGTTCGTTGTTCACTTTACAATGGCTGACGTTTTCTTCTTTCAGTTAGCGTTCCAGAAATTTGAAAGAAGCCATAACTGCGGGAAAACATCGAGCTATAACTTGAGGTCACTTTTATGGGAAGCGGGATGCACGGTCAGCAACAAAGTATTAGAATGTTTGGTCCTTAGATTTGCGAGGAACAGAATCGTCACTACTGAAAATTACGTCATGGCTTTGGTCAGATTGCATCTGGCCCATGGTATGTCATAAGCCATCAAGGTTTTAACTTATATCAAAAATTTTACCATTTTCAGAGAGGTACCACAATTTAGATACTAAGATGAAAGGTAACCCCATCTCTTTGGAGGAAGTAAGACTTTTTGAACTATTATTTTCATATGTTACAGTTAACATTTTAACATTTCAGATGATTTTGATGACCATTTACTCCTAAGGCCACGAAATATGGTAGTATTGTTATTTTTTTTCTTTAATGCCAAAGATATTATGTTAAGTAAATTGTTTTCTAATTCTAATGTTATATTTTGTACAATATTTTTAAATAATTTATTTGAGACGTGCAATGTATGCCAGGTACCTACTTTTTATAATTGACAGAAAAATTACATTAATATATTCTTACAAATAAAATATTAAAGCAAAAGTTTGTTTTAGTAAGTCACCTTATTTAATAAAGTAAAATCCATGGACGACGCTAGAAACATTATTAAAGATGAGAAGGTAACACTATATAGTTGCTCTATCAAAATAGAGATAGGTAATTAAAATTAGAAAATCATTGTTCATGTCCATAAAAAAATATAGATACTCCTAAATAATAGGGCCCAATTAGCCACTGCATATTTCTTTTATATTTTAAATTATTCTCAATTGTAATGATGTCATATTAGCAGAAAAAACGTAGGTAAGTTCCCTGTTTTTGCGGCTACAGCTACTACAGCTGATTAAATTGATTGATTCATCAACTATGCCAACGTTTTGGCCCTGGATCCTGGACTTAAGACGTTGAAAAACATTTTATAAGAAATTGTAAAGCGCAATCTCTCATAGCAAAAACTTCAGTTTATTTTTAAACAACACCGCTAATTATCTAGACAATTAATTTAAATACAACTATAATTGCATTTACTTCATCATAAGACAAGAAATAAACTAGGCCTTTCACCATAGAGAAAACTGCACCCTGAATTATTTTCAAACCGATTTTTAACATAAAATTAATATGCACCACAAGTATTAAAAAAATGTAATTATTATACCAAACTAATTTCAAAATTTCGAGCGTAACTGGCATTCCAGGGGAACTCCTAAGGAGTTCCGCATCTTCTCGAAAAATAATTTTTGTCTGTTTTCTTCCGTGGACCATTCTAAATAGATCCTCGTCTTCAGTAAGTATTTCAGCAAGGGACTCATGTGACATTTACTGACCGCACTCAATTTTATCAAAACAAGAGAATCGTCGACGTAATCTCCATCCTCGCGTTCAGTGAACAACCGGTAGTACTCGGCAACGTGACTTTCCCACCTGCACCACTGCGACTGCGCGTAATTGTCACTGACGACGATCAGAGTTTTACGGCTCTGCGCCATACAAACTAACACGCACTCGGATATAAAGTTGCCTACCAGAAAGTCGCGTTCGTACACGCAGAGTTTGTAGAAAGGTTCTTGGTTTTCCAAAGTTTTCACCAGGTTCACCACAAAGTCTCTATCTTCGCTGCTGTATGAAACAAAAGCGTCGTACACGAAATCATCTTTAAACTCTTTTCCCCTTTTGGGTATTATCCTGCCTTTTCGGCTCAAGTAAAGTGTGGTAAGGAAAAGTAAGTACTTAATCTGCCACTTAAAGTAAAATACCGAGAATACGACACAAACTAAAATCACTACTCCGATACACGATGACAAAATCGTGACTAGTCCTGTTTTCTTACATTGCACCTCGCCACTGGTAATGTCCTGAAAATATTTCGCAACGGGTACGTTTTCCAGTGAGCTAGGGTAGGCGCAATTCACTTGGGGTTTAAATATCGATTGCAAATGGCTTAAATTTAAATCGGCAACTTCGAAGCAATTGCAAACAATGTTGTTGTGCTCCAAATTGATATTCCCCAGCTGCAAAAAATCCTGCAACATCTCTGATGTCAACGTAGATATGCGATTTTCCGACAAATTCAGTTGGGTCAGTTTCGAATTGTTCTGGAACAGTCGTTGTTGCCAGCGGCTGAAGAGATTACGTTGCAAGTTTAGTACTTTTAATTGAAACAAGGGTAGAAAGTCATTTGGTGATATGGTAACAAGGCCGTTGTGGTTCAACTCTAGTTGTTCGAGCGACAAGAGATTACGGAATGGATTGTTGACCGCCGGTATATACGAAAATCCGCAACCGCCCAGTCGAAGGACCTTTAGTTTGGTCAAGGTGTGAAAGACATCCGGAATTTCAGCACCGTGATTGATTGCGTTGTTTCTCAAGTCCAAAACCTCCAGATTCTCCAGTGGAACGAAACTTCCATGTTCTATATTGAACAAGGATGTGGTCTTTAGACCCAAGAACTTCAAGTTTTTCAACCCCGCAAAAGACCGGTTAAACAGATGCACTATAGTGTTATAGCCCAAGTTAAGGTAGATTAATTGAGTCATATTAATGAAATGGTCGTGTTTGAATAAAAAATACGAGCTGAACTCGGGCTCCTCAGAATTTTGCTGGATGTCTAGAAACAACAGTTGTTTAAGAAGGACGCCTTTCGGTACACTCACAAGCTTGTTCCCACTTAGCATCAGAATTTTAAGATTGGGTAGTGAAGCGAAGGCGTCGCTTGTTACATTCAACGCCAGGACTTCCCTCAAATCCAGCATTTCTATGTTGGGCATATACGGAAAAGATTCGTTCGTCAACTGTTCAAAATTGTTTCTCGCCAAGTTGAGTGCCGATATGTTCGATTTGGAGATGACGTTCATAATATTACGTGGAGGATGTTTCCTGTATCCCACGTAGAACAAGTTGAGCACTTTCAAATTTATTTTCGCTTCCAATGTGCGGTTCAGCAGAATTGATAGCGTCGAGCTGTTGATGCTGTTTTGGTGCAGCTGTAGAATTTCTAAGTTCTTTAACGGTAGCAGCGCGTCCGGATGAATGTGTTCGATCCTACACAATCCCAAGCTGATGTCTGTCAGTGAAGAATTTTTCATCTGGATGAAACCCGTCTTGTCTATACTTACAAACGTGTTGGAGTCGAGAACTAGCTTCGTTAAATTATGCAAATAATTAGGACGTAAGCTAGGCGTTACGTGGACTAGATTTTGGAAACCGTTTTTCATGAGAAGCAAGTTTTTCACCCCCGTCAATCCCGCGAAAGAATGTTGATGGAGATATTTCAGTTTCGTGTTGAACGAGATGGACAAATTAACCAAACTCGTCATATTCTCAAATGTGCACGGCAGAATGCTATTCAAAGCGGGATTACCCTCGAGTTGGAGTTCCGTCAAATGCGAAAGCTTGCTAAAATCACCGGGTTTAAAAACTTTTATAACAGTGTCCGTAATTCGGAGCATAGAGGGTTTGACTTCCACTGTTACGGGCAAGTTACTGCACGTGTCTCTACCAAAACAGACCACAAAGACTTCCGGCAGCTCTCGACAAAAGCAGCCAGTTTTGGTATCGCGTCCCATGTAAACGGTTTGTTGTTGGCGTGATGTTATCGGCACTGGTAATTTCGGGAAATATGTTGGACAGTAATCGCCTTCGCATGATTCGAAGCTGACCGAATGAGTTATAAAGAGGCCCAAAATAGATAGGAGCATCATGGTTCTGGTTTAGCGTTGACATGACTTCAAGGCTGCAACAAAAACGACAGTTTCAAACATGTGCGTTGAAGACAATTATTTCTTTATATATCTATATTAGTAAATAATGTTCAATAAACTGCTCTGGCACAAGTGGATACTTTTTAACAAAAAGGGACCCTGATGCTCAATCTTTACATCTGATCATCATTATTGTCATAAAAAGCTACTCGGGTATCCAAACGAAACAGCTGCAATGTCCAGGAACAAGTTACCTATGGATGGATGTTAGGTTTAAGTAGTACCTCTATTTACTAAGATGGTAAGACAACGTCCGGTATACCCATTCGCCACGGAAATCAGAGAAACGACCCTTGGAGCTGTTACAGGCGGTGAAAATGTTGAAGCAAAAGCTTAATGCTCAGCCCATTCTCAAGTACAGATACAAATATGAATATAAAATATATAAAAAGTTACTTATAACTGTAGAACTCAGAGTCAAAATTAGCGGAATAGGCTTATGGCACACGATATCAAAGAGGTGAAATATTATCTAATAAAATTGATAATTGCAAAAAAGTACTGAACTTTGTGCGCGAAAACAACAGGAATAATGGTGTTAGATGGCGATACAATTTTATATTCTGATATCGCAGCAACAAAGTTAGGAAAGAATCATCTAGAAAACTCAAGCCCAGAAGTAAACAGTGATAAAAGCATATCAACAAGATAGTCTAGTTGCTAGTGCTGTTGCTACAGAATACAATACATAAAGTTGTTAAGAATTAGGGAAAAAGAACGGCTCAAAAACAGAAGTCATAAAAATTATGTGTGAAGAAAAACAAAAAAAGTAAAAAATAAAAAATTGAAATTAAGCAGTCGTCAATACATCAACTGGAGTCGTTACCCCTCTAATACAAAGCAGTAATAATTTTGTTGGTGATTTTTCTCGTAAAACATCGGTTGGAAAAAATATCCAAAAATATACGTATTATATTATGAAGGTCAGTTGCTTTCACAAAGGTAAAATATAATTAGTATGTTTTCCCAGGCAGGTGTGCACTTACATGAATGCCGAAATCAAAAAGCGATCAAGCTAAATTTGATTTAAAACCTGAATTACGCACTATAGACACTTACCGTTCGCATCCAAATATCAAAAAGTAGGTATTCCACAACTCCGCAAATGCTGCACATTTACTGTCGAATGTTAAACACTTACACGTTTTCACTATTCTGCGAATTATTAAGTAAACAAATCTGGTCGTTTAGTTGCAGTTCTAGCAAATGATGAGAGCGAATATACGAGGCACGCTTAAAAAAAAAACAAACACATTTGTACTTCAATTTTTCAATAGAATAAGCTTTACACATAGTATAGGATATGAGTATGTATTACACTATCTAACGAGGATAATAAGGATTTTTGGTATATTATGCAACAAGATTTTAGTCACGAGTTTGATTTGGCACGAGCGTGTTACATACTAAGTATAGTTTTACTACGACCATTATGTTTTGGGTAAGTTTTGCAAAACAGCACGAATAAATTCGCTAAGCAACGTGTCACGTGACCATCAGAATTAACACACATCAAAATACCTCAATCTTTAGCTAAAATCTAAAATTTTTAGCTAAAATCTACCGAAAACATCGATTGCTCTCAAACCCGTTACGAAAGTGTTGGAGATGGAATCATAGACAACTATATTGTATTGGTTGGTTAGTTGATGGGATGGCGTCTTAAAGTGATACTTCAACACTCTTAATTGATCTGTGCATAACTGAGTATTTTAGTTTTGAGAGTAGAAAAACACTACCTTTTTTGCACCAGAATTACCTGTAATTCAACAGACAGCATATTTTTTTAAATCATAACAAACCATTCGCCCATTACCGAAGTCCATAGAAATTTTTTTCGCTTGGTAATAGACCATGACGTAAAAAAACTATAACCAACAATTGTTCTTAGGTTCCCAAGAAAGACTTTAACCGAAAACAAAAAACGACCACCACGGACCACCCGGGTTCATCCGGATTTTAACCTACGTGGAAGACAAAAACAGCGAGGTCGACATCGATTTCACACTTTAAAACTTTCACTAAGAAATTAAATCCACACAATTGAAACCGAGTATTTTGGAACGATTATACAGGATTCTGTGGGAAGCGAGTGCAGCAATGCTAACGACAGAACCTCTACACAATTCGTAAATACTAAAATTGATTGACATTTTCCGGTCGTTCTTTCAAATTCTTTCAACTACCGGTAAATACCACGGTAACAAATGATTTCTAATCACCTATAATCAGAACAACATCGCGTTTATGCGTCCGGTTAAAACTAAAACGACGGCTATGTGCTTTGACATATCTTAAAATATTTACCGTTGAAAAGAAAATTAACAATTTCTAATTTCTATATCATCCACAATTATTTCATAATCGCCTGCATTAGTGTTCAATAATCTAAAAAGTCTGATTAATGCGGATAATAAAAATGATTTCATACTGTTACAAATTCCCTTTTTAAAAATAATTAAAATTGTAGGCTGTATTTTTGAAAATGAAATTGCATTTATTCAAGAGTGAGGCATTAGGCGTCGAGTTGTGTCAATCGCGATTGATTCGGTCATTTTCATTCAATCACTTTATAGGCGAGCGGCCGACGATGGAATGGGCAGTTAAAGTGAAATTCTAACTTATAGCCGTTTATCTGTGGCAAGGAACAAATTTCAAAGTAATGTGACTGTCCGCGCACAATGCCGCGAAAATTTAAAAATATCTACTACAAAATGAAACTAAAACAATAAAATAGCAGCTGGCATGGTTTATGTGTAAGTTAATCAAGAATATTTGTAAAAGAATTCTGGGATGCTAAATTATGTCAAACTAAACCAAAGGCTGATTTTCCCGAGCCAAAAAGATTGTGGCTCATAAAAATAAGTTTTTGAGAAATAGAATATTCCATTCTAACCCAAATCATACGATGATAAACTCGTTTCTAACCTAAGTTAACCGAGAAGCATCGACTGAGCAGATGCGACTTAGACACCATTCTGTATAAATTTTATTTCCATTTAGCACAACAAATGTATATATTATTTGTAATAATCTGACGATTGAACCAAAAAAAGCTACTAGCAGCTGCATATTAAATTTAAAAAAATTAAATGAATTAATATATCCTTTAAATATTCCTCTCACATTTATTAAACAAATCTACCTGTTGATTTATAGTATCACCTGTTATTGCTATTGCACACAAATAAGCGCAATAATTAATAAGCTATAGAGAATACCATTTATGCTAAATAAATGTATATTTCAAAATTTTTGATCAATTTGCAAGGTAACAGCATCAACCGATTCTTAACCTAGTAAAAACATTGTACAAATTCTACAAAAACCCTATCGCGGCTCTCTCTACCAAAAACTTTAAAAATAATGGAAATTAGAAACTTAGCAGCCGCAATTGATAACAAAAAGTAAATAATTTAACAAACGAAAACAAAAAAAACATGTTAAACCCCCTTGGATGAAGGTCCTGGAAAATGTCTGTGATCCTTATGAGGATTCATGTTTGGCCTGAAAAAATGGAAAGGTGCTTAGTTAATAGAACCTTCTAAATAAAGAGAACACTTTATCTACCTACTTTTGTTATTTGAATATGTTATACAATATAAAAACAAGACTTACATTGGGCGTTGTTCTAAATGTGGTCCCCATGGTGCTGAATCACCTATAAAATGTAACAATGGAAATCCTGGAGGTGGGACAGATGGATCAAAAGCTGGAGGTATGTGGGACACTGAGTCCAGTACCCTCATCGTGTTAGGTACGGGCGAAATAGGATATCCTTGCACCATATCCCGAAATGGACTACTCTGCCTGAAAATATTTCGTCGAGCGTCCACCAACCTAGAGACTTTTGTATTAAGCAGATTGCACTGATTCATAGCTTTTTCATATTGCTGATGACGGGTAAAACTATCATTGTGGGCCCTCTTAATATGTGCTCGTTTAGCACTTTTACGGGCTTGCATCTCTTGCTCATCATCTGAGAACTCAAGTAATTCTGGTGGTGGTTCCTCATCATTAAGCCAGGATGCATCAGAACCTTTCATCCTAAAAAATATTAATTAATTTTTTACATAAAGCAACCTACCTTGAAGCTTAAAACGACACAAGCGAAAAAGCGACTAACAAAATTATAATCGAAAATGTTTTCGTGACCTGACAATGGAAAAAAAATAAAAATTCACAAAAACTACCTACTAACAACTCAAGATCATTCCTCTTTGAAAACAATTTAAGAAAAATTTCTCATCCTCTTCAAAAAAAAACTTGACATCTATATAGCTCGCCTATAGGATAAATATGTAAGCAATACTAAAATTATAAAACACAAGAGTACTTACTTCATAAGCTGGCTGACAAACACATATTTGGAATACTGACTTTTAGGAGCTGCAAAAATTTTCACCCCTTGTTTTAATCCAAGATTTTCAATATCCATTAAGCTGTTAAAACGAACAGTATACATGGGAGCAGATACAGGACCCAGTATATCAAAAATCTCCCCTATTGGCTTTTTGGTGGATTCATGATTGATGAATAAAAAAGTTTCCACATCAAAAGCAGGCGTATTGGGAAATGCCTCAATAGTCACTACAACATTTTTATTGTCCCATATAAAAACACTAAAAAATGTCTTATTTAATACCCAATTTGTTCACGATTCCTACAACTTGACCAATTAACATAAAATCATTTTCCAGCAGGTTGATATTTAACTGAGAAAAATCTGGAACTGGTGGCAGCAAATCCTCATCAGGAATGTCCATGTTTTTATTGCTTCTCACAATGCTTTTGGGAGTTTGAATTATAACTGATTCCTTGGAACTAAATATTTGCATTAGCACTAAACCAAATATTATAGAAGGGGGAACATACCTTGCATCATCATCTGATGTGTTCTCATCTAAAGAATAGTCAGTGGAGGAATCACTCTCAGTATCGCTTGTGTCCACTTCAACAGGTTGTCGCCAATTTTGCTCGCCATTGACTTTATCAGTATTCCCTTGCTCATCTATGCAGCTATCACTATTGCTGTCTTCAGAGTCATCATACACATGAAGACTTCGCAACGAATCAGATTCTTTGTTAACAATGACAGCAGACTCCTTAATAATTTTGCCTTCTCCTATCGCTTCGGATGCAATTTCCTGAACATTTGTTATTGCATCATCTAATAAAGTTGTGCTGTTTAATGTTTGCTCAACAAAAATGCCTCTATCTGATGCATTCTGGTTGCCATTTATTACGGCTCCCTTGTAGGCATTGGACAGCTTAACATTTTCACGAACATCTGATGCGTTACTTGCATTGCAATCAGCTTCATTCCGTTGCTGGGAAATTTTAATTGTACTTGTTTTACTAGTTATTGCTGGAGAGTTAAGTTCAGAACGAATTTCATTCGCGTTATCACCTGACATCATTGACGTTTATGTTTATCCAATTGCCAAGTTTCTTAGGCTTAATATGACATTATAATAAAGAATAACTGATCAATTTTTTTTTAAAGAGAACCGGCAAAAGAAACATGCGGTTAAATTGCAACTTTAAACGGCCATATTGAAAATTGAAAGTATTCAAAACAAGTTGTTGAATACTCAGTAATACCACCTTCCTAAACTAGACTTAATAAATAAAAACGACTAGTAGGACTCAACAAGCACAGAAAAAAACAGAAGAATATATACTTTTATAAATATGAGTGTACAAAATCTGAAGGTATAAGTTCAAATAAAAATACAATTTATAATTTATTTTATTTTTATTTTATTTTAAAACTTTTATTCAGCCTGTTATAGCGGCAACCAGAAATACAGCGCAAGAAAAATATCCTATTAACTTTGGTTAGTTTTTGGGTTTGTTATTATAAATATTGCATATGAATTGATAAATGGCAATCGAAAATTGACATGCAAATATCACATTCGAGCGAAACGACAAGTCTGGCTCAAACAAGTCTTGCGCATTCACCTTTTGTTCAAAACGAGAAAACCGGTCCTTGCACTTGGTTGTTTGACTGCAACATGTCTCCGTCTCCCGCTGGGTGGCAAAAAACAAAGGTAACCGGTAAAGCCTCGCCTTTCAAACAAACGAGAATCGCCCGAGATAACAATTAATGCCGGTAACTACAGTTTTCTTTCGAATCAGCTGATGTCCGGCACCGTTTTCTCAAGTTTCGGTTAAGTTGATTGCAATTCAGCTCGCGTTTGGTTGAAAAGTGAATGAAACTTTCTAATATTTTAAGTCACCCGGAACTTGTGATTTATTTAAAGTGTAAGTTGACTTATTTATACAGTCGCATTGAAGGCGATGATTTAAAATTGGAAGATTCTTTGAAAAGGTATGTATGACGTACTTACTAAATCAAAAGACCGCGTAAATTTTAGATCATTATTACTAGTAACAATAAGTTAAAATTAAATCATGTGAATTTATGCTCTGAAAGCTATATTCCTTTATACTTCCAAAACAAGGACAGATAAAGGTTTTTTCATACTTAATAATGTATGAAATGGTCAGTAAAAAATTCGATTTAAAAAAAATGGTGTAATGGGGCAAAGAAATATCTTTAGATACTAGGGTAGCATAATGTGAAACCAGATTTTGGTGGTGGTTTTTTTATACATTTTTAAAATCCAAAATTTCCTATGGAAAATAAATTCCAGAAATACTTATCAAATTTAAGTATTCTGTAGCTAACATTTTGTTAAGCTTGTTTCACTTCGCAATTGCCCTTACGGAAATTCTATTCGTATCATATGCAAAACATATGAATTAAATATATGGATATTAAAATATGTATGTTTCTTACCTACCCCGAAATTGACAACACGAGCGCTACTTTTTCGTATGCAATGGATTTACTTCGCTCGCTTGTGTGACCCAACAAGTCACTTTAACTATTATTCAGAATTAAAAATCAGTTGGTGGTAATGATTGTAGATGTTTTTTTTGTTTATGTATGTACTAACTCTGGGAAGAAGACAAGTTCTGTTTAATTTAACTGTTATACTGGGTACAATTTAAAGTTGAACCTTCCCTACATTTAAAAAATCTCAAATCAAATTAGGAAACTAGTCTAAGAAATTAAACATTTTCTCGTTACCTGTTCAATGTTCAATATTACTGATTTTCCAAGATTCAAGAAAATTCAAAAGGTGTCCACTGAGTTGTCATCGATTTCGTGTGTTATTTTTTTTTCATATTATATAATATACAGTTAACCAAGTTAACATCAACGTTATATAGGTTGTGGTGTAGTCTGAAAAACGGATGCTTTTGTCGGGAGATAGAAATCTTAATTTAACGTGAATTATTATTAGTAAATATAAAAATGAAAAGTTCAGGGACTGACTACAAAAAGTTCAATACAAAGTATTTTACTTTTTAAATAAAGATGTAAGTTATATAGCTTTGAAGTATACATAATGCCCAGTTTTTCATGGACGGAAATTAACTTTTAAAAATTAAAAACCCTTTATTTTATTGTTGATATTGATTGATGATTTTATTGTTAATATACATTGATGATTGTTGTTCGCTGAAAACATCTTTATCTTAAACTTCCATAGAGCTTAACTGTTTTAGAAGCCAACAGGATGATTAGCAAAACGTCAGCAAGTTTTATTTATCAGCAACTGACGCAGAAGGAATCCAAATGATTAGTCAATAGAATTACAGTAGCCTGTGGAATTTTCTTCGAAAAATTGCCATAGCACATAATTGGCCGTTGTTTAGTTCAGACATTAGACCATTCGGGATAGTTAAATTCCATTATTTTAAAAATACGTCCTTATTTTACTCGATAAAATTTAATTTTCCAGTGGATTTGATTGGAATACTTCGAGATAGATATTGTATATTATACTAACATTTTTATAAAAATATATAAAATTTTGGAAATTTTGGAAAGTTATCTAATCCATACCCACGTAACTTACGAATATCTTGTTCAGGTTTTTTATACATATCACCAAATAATTTACAATATCTTTATTATTTAACTACTTAGTTATCTATTATTTTATCAAATTTTTTTTTAAAATGATTTGTTAATTTTTTTTCTCAAAAAAATGAACAAGTCATTTTAATAGTACTTTTGCTCCTAGTTCAGAGAGGTCGAATTTCAAATTACGAATATGTTAAGTTTGAATCCAACCGAGAAAGCGGGAGAGCCAATAAGTGAAATAACTTTTCTGGCATTGTGCGTTCACTATTTTTTCGCATTTTGCAAATGATTATTAATATTACCTCAAAAATCAAAAGTTTTCACTACGGAAAACGTCCTAATTTTACAAGAGAGCAGATTTTTTGAAATAACGGTTTGTTTCCACTTTTTGTCTAATTTTATGATTTATTATAACCATAAATTTTGATATTACGGCGACATTTTCCTTATAGAGAAAGTTTTAATATGTTGTTGAACGAAAAATTTTTAAATTGCAAATTTTGAGGTTTGGTTAGTTTTGGTCAGTTTTGCTCTATAGGGCGGATATGCTTTAACGGTTGCAATGCTATCAATTTGTCATTAGACTGCGTACTAACTGCTAGGAATGCTGGTGTACAGTATGAGGGAATTCAGAAGGAATTACGAGGAATTCCAAAGAATTATAAATAAATAAAGGAATTACACCCTTACCTCTACGGTTTACCCCTCATTCATTACGTTCGATGAAACGTGTATGGTAAATCTCATAACTTCAAAGATAGGGTGTTAAAATATTAAGAAAAAAATCATTGAACAACAAATCAACATTTGCTTGATTTCTGACAAGCAAAGCAGAAAAAAAATCTATTTATTTATTCATTTGGAATTTGCATTTTTATGGAACGTGGGTCAGGAGTACCTCATAATACTGATCCGACTCTTTAAGAGTTCTCAGATAATTAAAAATAAATAAATTTCCACCAGAAATCGATTTGCGGGCCGATGCGTAAACGACCGGCGTGACGAATTGCTAAAAAGGGGCGGTCGAAATGTAAAAATAAACCATTAATTTCCGGGAAAATCATCAGGGGAAATTATCGCGCGAGAAGAAAGCGACGTATACGTGCCCTTCGTATAATACGTTTGACGTCAACGAAAAAGTAATCGAACGGTGGTGCATAGAGGCGACGACCAGTCCGCAATAGTAATTTATTTAGTTATCGGCCTTAATTAGCCTTCTGTGTAAATCGCCGCCGTTAGAGGAAAACGCCAATTTAGAAATAGAGGAAACAGTTTTACCCCGCGAAAGACAGACGGTTCTGCAAAAACGCGTCTATTCGCTCACGGTAATTTCAAGTAAATCGATTTATGGTAATCTACGATGCGGTACTTTTTATTATTGTTTTAATGCGAGGCCAAATCTAATCGTCGCTGCGATGAAAACGTTGCAGCGAATTTAAATGTCGCCGGTTTTTAAATAAATCCAGTGATTTTGACTGCTAGTTTTACATGTATTAGTTATTATTTTTGTTTGTATGTTTGTTAAACTTTTGAAGACAGAATTAATTCAGCAGTTACACAGTTACATGACTCGATTAACACAAATGTACTTTTTTGAATGTCCTAAAAGTATAGTACTCAAACAAAAAAAAACCTTTCTGTGAATGTCTGGTCGGGCGGGAAAATCATTGAAATAAAATAGCACGCTAAACTGTTAGGAGCGGAACTCGACGAAGTCTTATCTTGGGAAACTCAATGCCAGTTACTTTCTCCAAAGCTGCATAGCTACTGCTCTTTTTCTTCTTAACATGCCCTACAGGTAGTGTGTTGGCGACTATTCAAAGACAATGTTTTACTGATAGCAGCGTGACAAAGCTCACCAGTGTTATTTATACCTGTCCAATGTTTTCCATTTCGCAACCTGGAAATCTGCTTACGAGCGACACCTCTCCTGCCCTCGATTTTTCCTGAGTATGTGGCCGAGGTAGCTAATTTCACGTGTTTTAATTAGTTCAAAATGCTCTCTTTCTACGACAGCTTTCCCGAAAACTTCCTCATTGCTAACACGATCCACCCATGAAATTCGAAGCATTCTCTTTAGTGATCACGTTTCGAATGCCTCTAGCCTATTGATTGACGATGGTTTTAGGGTTCGAGTTTCCATGCAATAAAGTAATATCGACCATACTTAACACCATGCACCATTCTATAACGCATCTTAAACGAAAGCGACTGATTACGGATGAAGGGTTTGAACTTAATAAATGCTTGTCTCCCCTGTCGGATTCGGCATTGTTGTGGATACCATGCATCGTTTAAATCAATTCCAAGATATTTGAATGATTTCACCTGCTTCGTTATTAATATATATAGTTGATTTCTTTACTGGCTGTCTACTAATGATCATATGTTTAATTTTCAAGATGTTTATATTCAAGCCTCTACTTTTTCCAACACTCTCTATTTTATTCAATCTCATTTGTAGATCTTCGCTGTTATCAGCAATTATGAGTGTCACCGGCATAACGCTATGCTTTCCTCATTAAAGTTAAACAATATAAGTGACAGGATGCATTCTTGGCGATCGCCCTTGAGTATTTTAAACTACTCTGTACAGACTCTCCCTCCAATCTGATTCGAGCTGTTTGATTCAAATACAGTTTTTG